TTCTGGTAAACATTTGGCTACTCAGCTTGCAAATGTTCACATTGCATGGATAGTTCTCGGAATGTATCTTGTTGCTCAATCAACCATGCTGTACAGACTAAAGGAGACACAGAAGTGCTCTATATTCAGGCTGAGAACACCCATAATCATCAGTTCATTCCATGGGTCAGCTGTGTTGCTCTTATTAATTCATCTTGAGATTGCTGTGCCAGAACAGGGATACTAAAACAGGATCTGTCGCTTGCCCAATTTAAACTCTTCCATGGTAGATGTATCTGCAAAATGCTCATGTAACAACTTTTCCAGCATAATGCTCACATTCTGGGAGAGAGCAAAAATGCTGCAGGACCCACGAGACACATCAATAGTCCTGGCACAACTAGGGCTTGTGAAGGGACTGTCTCCGACGGCATACCATGAGCTAATTTTTTCTCACATACTCATACCACTTGGACAGTATTTCCTCATCAGCATTCCTTGTTAGCCCAGATCCAAACTTCCTTTTCTTCCTGGGATATGTATGTGATGCTGCAGTGAAGACAGAATGCACTCAAGAAATGGGACATGATGTGTTTTTTGCTAGGTGACTTTAGCACAGAGAAGACTCTGTGGACTATGGCCATTGTGTCAGGAAACAGTTACATAGAAGAATGGGAACACTAGAACAGATAGTTAATCATTGTGCAAAAACTATATAAAAACCACTCCTAAGACTTTCCCAGATCTACCCTGAAATTGACACAGTCTGAATCTGCCTCTCACACAAGCCAAGCCGTGCTAGTGATGCAAACAGCTCCTGAACAAGGGTTAAAGCCATGATGGACGAGTATGATGCCACTTGCCTGAGTTGCAGGAAAAGATGGCTGTCTTGGCAGGGGGCCAACTGAGAAAGGCAGAACTCAGTATTTTTTAGATCAACACCATTGCTAGTAGATTTCAAGTAATCTGGAAAGGCTACTGTTGAAAGCTGAAAACAAGAGAGTATCCAGTCTGACCAAACTTGACAGACTGCAGTCTGTCATGGAGACCATGGGAGACTCCATCTCTCATGGAGACTTTGTATCTGTGCTGAAGGAGCACTGTGACTTCTTAGAGATGTCTCATTTCAGAGTCTTCTGCAGTAGGAGAAAACAGTTGATCAGCCCTGTTGCATGCCCTAGTGGCTTTCAGATGACCATAACTTCTGAAAATCTGGAATACTGTTTTCTGTTTGCTTACTGGTGATGGTCAGGCTATGCCTCTAGTCTGACTGCATGATGACATTATTTGATTCAGATCATAATGCAACATTGTCTCTTGCCAGGGATAAAATTGGATCATATTGCATTTGATGACACATGATGTTCTTCTCATTCATCACCCCACAGATCTTAAAACCATCCTTCCCCATAACTGAGTAGAATGTAAGGACATCTCTCCTTGCATGTCTTTGCTGTCAATAGCCTGTCCTGCATCACTTCATGCTGATGACCTCTGGCTTTAGATCAAGTTTGCAGGCACTCTCTGTAGAGAGGGCATCAATGTACTAGGTTCCAAGCACAAAAATATAATGGAAAGATACCACTGTCCTGCTCTTTAAAGGCATTTGTGCAAGACAAACCTGTAGGAAGAACTGCTGCAGAGACATATTGTGCAGACTGCCATGCACTGACTGCAAGGCATGGACTAGCCCAGAAACCCTGGTTCAGAAAACTAATAGCCAGAAGCCAGCCCTTCCCCCATATCCCACTTCTCTTACATGCTTTTAAACCACGACATTACAGCATCTTGTTATGCAGGCTCTGCAGGATCACAGTGTGCAGGATACGCAGCAGACTGGGTCCTAGCAAGGGGCGTAAGGGCCTTGCTGGAAATGCCAGACAGAGGTACAGTCTGCTGTGTTTCACATGCTTGAAAATTTGGGGGTTTTTATACACAATTCTTGTGCTTGTTCCAACTCCCTGCTCAAAAGTCTCCTGACAACGGGTAGTACACCCTGTCCTAAATCACAGAACAGAGGCATTCAACTTAGTATGCTGCTCAGGTGACTGAAGTACCAGTGTTTTGCAAAATAGCTTATTCAGGAACAAATTATGTATGTGTCACTGCTCTCTGCAATAAATGTGGAAAGTTTTATAGGGCATTTGATAAAACACTTGACTTTGATTTGGTTTTTTTATATCATTTAACTAAAATTTTATGTTCGTCTTTGCTTTCTACAATACACAATGCAAATGGAAAAGAAATATGGGGAAATTACATTGCCCACAGGAAAAAAAACAACACATAAATAAAATGCGCTGGAAGTAAAACAGATGGTTGGCACCTGGTGGTTCTATATAGCCCTGGGTGACAGTTAAGCTGTTCCTCCATTTGGAAAAAGGAAAAAAGGGAAGGGAAATATGTCTGAATCACTAGCACTGATGCTCTTTTAGGGTCCTTCATGCTGTGGGGTCTGGGGTTACAAGTTGTGCCTAAACTGAAGGTTAGTCCTAGTTTCTCAGCAGTCCACATCCCCCAACACTTCTGTTCCCACAGCCTGCAGGATGTTGTGCATATTGGCCAGATTACCACCATCATGCATGCCTAGGGATCAGGACTGTTGAGGCAGGCTGACACCATGGCCAGCAAAGCCTTGCCACCTCCCAGCAAAGACAGAGCACAACAGCAGCCTTTGCTCTGTTAATGTTATGTCTGCTCTGCCTGCAGTCAAATTCTCTGGAGTGCTAATAAGTGGAAAGCAATCACAACATGGTCACTCCATGTATCTCCATGTCCTCCCTGCTTCTGAAACTCAACTACCGTGGAGCCATGCAAGGCATTGCTGTCTGAGCAAGGGGACCATCCCTGCACAGAGGGTCCTCTGCAGAGAAAGTCTGTGACCTCTCCAAATAACATAGCTGCAGTACTGTCTCCAGTGACCTAGACCTCTGTAACACTTTATGGCCATATGCAGTCTCAGAAATAGGATGTCAGAGCTGTCAGTCAGCTACAATTAAGCTTTTCCACAAAGCTACTGAGTGTGACAGTAAACACCCATCTTGAGCTAACCCTGTTTTGAAAAATTACTTGAAGGCAAGTTGTTGGAAAACAGGCTGTTTCAAATGGTAACAGTAAGGCCAGCACTTGTGCTGATTTGCCTTAGGTTCAGATACAAGGTCACACAGTAGGAGAAAAGAAATAAATAAAAGCATATGTTGTATAACGGGATGACTTTAATAATAAAATTGCTGATTCTCATCTCTTTCATAGAGATTCACTCAGTCAACCTGGAACCTAACTTCCCTACTCCACAGGCTGTCTTTAGCTTGAGTTGATACTTGGTGATGTGTCTACTGCATACAGGAAGTTAACTTCTTTGGCCATCTCACAAGGAACAGCTACATTAAGCAAAGGGAAGGGCAGGAGGCAGCACTGCTTTTCTCACCAGTGCTGTCTTAGAAAACGGGGTGGTTCCAACCAGCCTCCAATGAGGTTGCATCCACTCCTGCCAACCACCTGCAGCAAAGGGGCAAGAGAAGTCCAGATAAAGGAGTGATGCAGGAAGATCTGATCTGGAGTTCCTATGGCAGAAGCATGACTTGGCACGTCATGGTAGTAGGTTGGAAGGATGAGCCGCTACTGTCAAAAAGCACCACTACAGGACAGACACCGAGACCACTGGTACAGAAGTGGCTCTTGTGCTGTATGCATAATGACTGCAGCTCTATTGCTTTTTACAGTGGCTCTACTACTTCAAAAGTCTGTAAGCAACAATGTTCAAAATTCCTCACCTTAGCAATCAAATGCATCAAATGCTGTTTTTTCAACACACAAAATGTCACTATATGTATTGCATGTGAGATTTTGGAAGATTACTTCCAACATGTCATTTCAAGAATATCCATTGTTTGTTTACTTACCAAGTAACTTAGCATGTAACACAGTCAAGTTACTTTCATGTAACCATAGAAACATTAGCTCTTCCCCCCTCCCTCCCCGGTCAGACTTCAGCAGATAATGCTACCAACATTTATGAGCAAGTGCTATAACCTGACTATTATGCTTGTAGTCACATTCCTGTGACACTTGAGAAAGATTTTATCAAGTCTGTTCAGAATGTTTTAAGCAGCTTATCAGAGCTACTAGCATCCTCAAACAGACTTGACAAAAAATGTTGCTATTTTTGTAGTTCACAAACCCAACTGCAAGAACTGCATAAACTGCTTGCAACCTTTTAATACTATAGAAATCAGTTCATTTCCCACAGCTTTAGACCAGTATCCCAGAACAGGACACCTCCTAGACATCTGTGTCCTTGAAGTTTTAAAGTCTACCTACTATTTCTTGACATGAACTTTCCATATTTAATAGGATTTCCAAACTCACAGAATAATTCCAATCAGACTGCTTCTAAGTGAGGCACTCGGAACAGGGTACCTGTAAGCAATGCATCAAAATTCAAAAAGTGAACTGCTCCTTTAGTATCTTTTAAAAGAACTAGTTCTACTCCAGAGGTCAGCCGTATTAGGCTGCGTACTCAAAAATTCTGAAGGTTCAGGAATGGAAGGAGTGGTCCAGAAGCACATTGAAAATTATGTCATTCAAAATAAAAATTCTTAGAAAAATTACACTAATTTGGGGGGTAATGCTGTCAAAAAGGATGAACATTCTGTCACCTGTTCTCTATTTTCCTCTCTGTTTAAGAGAGAAAAACACCGACTGCATTTCCAGACTCTTTCACCCCCCAACAGAGAATACAGGATTGTCTAGAATTTGGTTTATTTTTTAATTCCCAAAGAATATTCCTATGAATTATTTACACTAGTGACTGGAAAAACTAGATAACTACAGACGTGTCTTTGGAAATAACTTCTCACCAATCATAATAGTTTAAAGTTTTGTGATTAACACCATTTTGTTCAAGTAAGATGCTTTTAATGATAGTTTTAATTGATTCATGACATTAACTACAGATGTTCACAGGGAAAACAATCTGTAAGAAAAATTGTATGATAAGTCAAAAAAAACAGTCATATTTGTTTCCACTGTGCAGTTTATTCGGTTTCAAATTAGAAAAAAAATCACTAAGTATTTGACAATTCACATGCATAAACTTAAAACATTTCAGCCCAAAAAAAGTATTGATTTCTTTCAGTTTTGGATTAAGGCTTTCAGGAATTTCATGTAGGCAGACAAGTATCTGGATTTTTTAAAAAAGAACCAAGATAGACAAGCTGTAACTCAGTTTTACTTCTGTTAACAAATAGAATCAAAGTGAGTCCTGGTAGTTTGCACTTGCATTCTTTATCTTTTCACGTTTATAGCTGATAGGAGTCAAAGTGATTGGGAATTTTCTTCAGCAAGAGTTTTCTTCAACAGTGTCTTGATTTGGAGTGCTGAATAAGCCACTGTAATGTTATGTCTGCCAGGACAGATAGAACAAAATGAAAAACTCAACAGGCTGTTTGCTAAGTGTAAAGGGGCAACAGAACACCAGTAGGTTAATACAAATTAAAGAAAACTCAAACAAACAAAGCCCAGAAACCACAGGTTCTCATTCACACCTAATTAAAAAAATTAGTACTTCAGCCTTCAAGTAGCCTTTTTTCCTGTTGTTTTTTGGTTTTGTGTTCATTTTGTATTCTTGAATTATAATTACTAATACCAAACTCTCTAAGCCACAGATGAAGAACTGATTTAAGATAACCGTAAAACTAACTATAAAATCCAGGCTGGAATGAAATGCAGTGTGCAAACAAAGGCAGAATACCCAACCAGAAGGAAAGAGAAGGGCAAACATCTGACAAAGCATTAAGAAGCCATTTACATAGGTTGTAGGAGTCCAAGGTCTCTGAAAGACATGCAACACTAGACTTAAATTTGATAGCTGAAATGGTGCCACTCCTGACAATCTAGTGAAGAAAACTGCAGCAGTTCACAAACTGATTCATGAGTAGATTAGATGGTTTTGCCTCAAGGCAGTAACATCTGTTAGGGAGCTAGGAAGGTTGTCAGGGGGCAGCAACAGCTCTAGCCCTCAAATTTAAATTTGTTGCCACATCTGTCCTAAGTTCAAGACAGAACTCCATGAATATCCTGGCAGAGCAGACTGGGCACTGAGACAGCAAACAAAAGCATCCCATAGCATCTAAACCAAAGCTAGTAACAATATACTAATAATCTTCCACAGTCTCTCAGGACACAGAAACTGGCAGCCTTACACCTACTCCTCCTGATGAGACCTGTTAGATAGGTTGCAGTTTCACTGAAAAATTACTATCATCTCATTGAACTGCACTGACATCAATCAAAAATGCAAAGGAAGGAGACAGCTCCCGGTCTTACTCCTTAACAGCCTACTAGTTTCATTACTTTAATAAGGCACATATATTTTCATTATAGTTTTTCATTATAAATTATATTTTCCAGTCCTTTGATCTCCCTAGGCTCTTGTTCAACTTCTTCAGTTTCTCAAGGTCTTCATCAAAATGTGGCACACAGTGCTCCAGAAATGCCTGCGCAATCCATACACATGCAATGTACAGAATCTGCTCTATTTGTTATTCCTTTGGGCAAATATTCAGGAATCAGGTTACCCTTTCAAGGCACAATGTTACACTGGAAAATACTTGACTGCTTCTTAGTTAAGATGTTGAGTCTTTTTCATCACTGCTCCCAGGACCTTCATAAATAAGTGATCATTCTTTTCATTATTTGCCCATTTGCAAATTCTAGTATACTTTTTCTGCATGCATTGTTTTTTTCTCCAGGCCACTCATATAAATGAACCAGGATCAAACCCTATTTTCTCCAAGATCCTTTCAGAAATTAGGCTGGTTTTACTAGTTTCTAGTCACAATACTAGTTTTGAGATCCTCCACTGCAGCCTTGCCAATTCCATGAGGATCAAGCATCGCATTTCTAAAACATGAACCAACTTCACTGCCCTTCACCTATGCAGATAATCCTGATTGTGCTGTCCTTCTCAGTCCTTATAGGCCAAACTCTAACCCAGCCCTGTGTGACAGCACATTCTGTGTATTTCCCTCACTCAGAGATAACTCTTCCTGACTAAGCTGCAGCAAACCTAGGTCTGGCCTCCTTCAAACTCATGTATCCAAATGTTGTGTACCATTTCCAAGAGAAGTCCTAACTGCCTAACACCTTCCTGCACAGAGCTGACATCACCCCTAGCCTCCTGAAGCCCAGGTGTCATAGTATAGTCTCCTCACCACCGCCACTACCTGCTGAGGACAGACACTGCTGCTGCTGCTGGAGGAAAGTGACTTTCCTCCCATTCCCACTCCCACCATCTCTCATTCAGCTGAGCCCAACAGAGCTGCTGAGCTTTTCTGAAGAGTCTGGCTTCCTTCAGAAACAGCTATAATTATCTACTCAGGCTGTTTCCTGCCCCCCCATCCAGCAACACTTGTCTTAGGAGCATGCAGGGAATAAGGGTGGGACAGAGGCAGCATACCCCAAGACAACTTCAGCTGCTAGCTCAGCCTAAGGAAAGGGACAGGAAGTGGAAGAAAGGAGGGATAAGGACAAAACAGCAAGAAGCAAAGGCAGATAGGAGACAATTTCATGAGGCTTTTATAGATCCTCAGTGACTTCAGGAACCAGTGCCTCTCCAGTAGGACAAAAAGCACTAGTTCCTTTGGTTTGAGTAATGCTGCCATACCACCACATAGAAGCACAGAGTTGTATAATGGTTTGGGTTGGAAGGGACATTAAAGATCATCTAGTTCTAATCCCCCTGCACGGCAGGGACACCTCCCACTAGACAAGGCTGCTCAGAGCCCCATCTAACCTGGCCTTGAACACTTCAATGTAATGCCTGCTCACAAAGCAAAATTTACTAACATTTTTAAAGTATCACCTAATAATTGGAAGGTTTTCTTATTCAGTTACTATTTTTTCTGAATTAGCAGTTTTTGCAAGGGATACAAATAATTTGGGTTTAAAAGCATGCATTTCCAAGGCCCCTGTCAATTTAAGTTCTTAGTGTCTCATGGAAATAAATAATTCTACAAGTGACTTTTAAATGACACATAATTATATACTAAAACAAAAACAACTGCATGCAATATTTGCAACAAAATCTTTCAAGGTATATTTATATTTTCCAGTTATATATTAGAGTTAGATATTAAAATCTCATTAACATGTTTAACAACCAATCCAAAGTATACGTTGATGATGCTGTAATAAGAGCTTACCAATGTTATCCTTCTCTTTACAGGAAATAGAATAGCAACAGATTTCTCTGTCTTGAATAGCTGAAAGGTTTCTACAGAAAAAAATAATAATAAAACAGGTAGCGTTTTAACTCCACAAAAACTGACAACAGAAATTTTCGTTAAATTACATGTTTCTGCTTTTTACACAGTGGGTTCAATTCTGCTCTCAGATATTAACTTTTGAAATATGCTACTGCACACAAAAAACCCATGTTTCCTAAACTATAAAGATTAAAATGCTATAAAGTCATTTCACAAAAATTCAAATTCCTCATTAAGTCAGTGTAATAGTCAATAATAAAATCACAGAAATCCATAAGCTGGAAATAACATCTTGTAGTGCCAACCATGTAATATTACCAAGTCTTAGCATTCACCTTTTATTTTTTTCAGTTAGAATTCAGAGTTTTTATCTCTAATAGCTCTTATGGTCAAATAACAGTACTCAAATCATCACACCATTCATTTTCAGGATTTTTATTACATCACACTTAAATATATCGGATCTGATTCCTACTGCAAGTACATCTCTACATTTAGGAATAAACTGATTCTTTATTAACTTCTGCTACCTTCTGGGAATTACCCTATTCCCCTCAGTTTCTGAGTACTTTGCTGTTTTTTCATTTATTTATCCTCACACAAGTGACACAGACATGCAGGAAACAGATTATGCTCCTGGAGCAGATGGGGAGTGGAGGCACGAAAAGAGTCTTGAGATAACACAAGAGACTCTTCTTTATAAAAGAATTAAACAGTGACTTCCTTGGACTTCAGGAGAGCAGACTTGGCCTCTTCAGGGATCTGCCTGGAAAACTCCAATGGGATAAGGCCCTGCACTGAAGAAGGGCTTAAGAAAGCTGGTTACTATTCAAGGATCATCTCCAAGCTCAGGAGTAGTCCATCCTAATGAGTTTGGAAAAGAAGCCAGGAGGCGTAAGCGAATGAATAACAAGCTCCCAGCAAAACCCAGTCACAAAAAGGAAGCACACAGAAGGTGAGGACAGGGACAGGTAACCTGGAAGGAATACAAAAACGTTGTCCAAGCATGCAGAGACACAGTTAGAACAGCCAGAGCCCAACTAAAATTGGATCTTTGAAGAATGTCAAAGGCAACCAGGGCTTTTATATGTACATGAACACTGCCTTTACCTCCATCTTTACTAGCAAGCCCAGCCTTCAGAAACTCCAGGTACCAGAGATAAGGGGGAAAGTCTGGAGCATGGAAGTTGTACCCTTGATGGAAGAGGATCAGATCAGGGAAACTGATCTGATAGCAAACTGTACATAGAGAATTTAATGGGCCCCAATGGGATGCACCTTCAAGTGATAAGAGAGCTGACTGATGTCATTGTGAGGCCACTCTTCAATGGTCTTTGAGCCTTTGAACCATCACGGACACTGAGAGCAGTGTCTGAAGAGAGGACGAAAGCAAATGTCACTCTCATCTTCAGAAAGTGCAAGAATGAGGACCCAGGGAACTATATGATGGCCAGCCTCACCTTGATCCCTGGGAAACAGATAGAGCAGCTATTCCTGGAAATCAATGCCATGCACATGACAGATGAGAAGGTGATCAGTAGTCAGCATGAATTCACAAAGGGGTATCATGCTTGACCAACTAAGAGCAGCTAATACTGTGTACCTTGACTTCAGGAAGGTTTTTGACACTGTCTCCTATAATAACCTCATAGACAAGTTGAGGAAGTATAGGGTGGTGACGTGGACTAAAACCATTGGGTTTTAGTTTAACACATGAACTTGTGAAGTCCTGCCCTTGGGGAGGAACACCATTACATGCTGGGACCTAACTGTCTGGGAAAAGCAGCTTTGGAGAACAGGTCCTGGGGGTCCTCATGGACACCAAGTTGAACATGATCTAGCAATGTGGTAAAATAGGCTAACAGTATTCTGAGCTATGTTAAAAGTGTTGCCTGCCAATCAAGGAAAGTGATCTTTCCCTTCTACTCAGCCCTGATGAGGCCATCCCTGGAGTGCTCTGGGCTCCCAGGTTCAAGAGGGACATAGAGCTACTGGAGAGAGTCCAGTGAAAGGCCAACAAAATGTTTAAGGGACAGGTGCATCTCAGATATTATAAAAGGCTGAGAGAGCTGGGACTGTTTAGACTAGAGAAAAAAAGTCTGAGGAAGAGATCTCATTAATATCTATACAATATCTGTACAGTATGTGTACAAATATCTGAAGGCATGCTGTAAAGAAGATGGAGACCAGTGACAGGACAAGTGGCAATGGGCAAACTGAAACACCTTTTTACTTCTGAGTGTGAGCTTTTTCAAGCCGTCTGGACATGGTTCAAGGCAATCAGCTCTAGGTGGTTCTGCCTGAGCAGATGGGTGGACAAGATGACCTCCAGTGCGTCCCTTCCAGCATCAGACATTCTGTGATTCTGCTTCCTAAGTCCCAGTTTAGTAGCTTAGCATTTGGACAATCCTTCTATACTGAAACCTTAATTCACTTCATCACTTGCACTTCCTACTGATTAAGATTGAGTAATCTGACACACAGAATCCCATTTTTCAAAATTATTGCTATACTGGTAATTTTTCTAAAATTGTGTATTTCCTTTACAATTGCCCTTACAATGCATCAATTTTAAGTTAGTTTCAGTAATCCATAAGTACATGCTTTGGATACATGCCAAAATATCAAAATTGCTTAAATTTACAGAGAGTAGTTTGAAATGGTCCTGTTCCAAGGCCATTTGAGCATTAAACTGCCACTACAGTATACTCTGAAAAGTACAAGTGAGCCTATTACTATCTATAGCAGTTGGATCTTCAGTGATGGGAAAACAGGATTATTTGAAACAACTTTATACAACCGAAATAATAATCAAGAGAGGCTCAAATCTATCACAGTCAGTTATCAGTATGGATTGCTATTTTGACTGTCAGCAGAGCTCCAAGTGGAGTACCTGAAAACGTAAAATGGAATCTGTTATAGCTGGTTATTGCCACAGACTTCCAATGATTTTTGCCTACATATGGAATTTCACAGTGTTTCAGCCTTTTACACAGGCCAGCTACTTACAATTTCTCAATTAACTGCTTTTCATCCAGTGCACCTGGGAGGTCTCTTTTATTTCCAAGGACCAACACCTGCAAGAAACAGTTCATATTCATATTAAATCCAGGAGCAGTATTTATTTTTGTCTTTAACCATTTGCTAGCACTATTTTGAAACATGCAGTCAATTATTTACAACATGATAGCAGACATATTCAAACTGACCAAAGACTGTGAGAGCATCACTAAAATCCTGCTCCTAGCCATGGTCAGATGCTGGATGCACATCCTCTGAAAACGGGATCAAATTATTTCTGGGTGTATCAGTACCAGAAGTCCCCTCTGCTCCTCTAGAAGTGAATCTCTCCATTCCAGATGGCATTATAGGATGGTGTCAGGTTGCACTAAATGGATTGCTTTTGCATGCTCCTAAACCTGGAGGACACCATGCAACAGGTAGACTCAAGACACCAAGAGTTGTTCAATCCACAGAACCAGACAAATGTTAATCAAAAGTAGGAGCCCAGAAGTAGAGATTGGGTTCTCAAGACCCAGACATGATTCTCTCTACAGTTTTGCTCCCTTGATTCTTAATGTTAACAGACTAAATAGCCAAACATGCATCACCCAAGCACAAGCCAAATGTTGATTCCTCTCCCTCCCCTTTGAGCATCCATGGCAGAAATCAGAAGGGCAGCCATTAGCAATTAAGTCTGAGAAATGCAGAAAATGTACTGAACAGATGCTGGAACTTAAAGCTTTCTACACAATACTTAAGGCTTCAAGTACAATTTAAGGTCAGATGAATGTGCTGAGTGTCTTCTAAGATAAAGTAAACAATGGAAAGTTTTTCTAATTATGACTGCACTATTGTTTTCCAGATGCGCTACAATTTTGAATCAAGATTGTCCCCTAATCTCCCATGAATCTGGAACACATTAGAACTCATTACTTGCAGTGTCAGATTAATAAAACTACCCAAAAATCTATAAATGCCAAAGCCAGAGTACAAAATTGAAGGAAGTTCAATACTAGTTACTACCTATAAAATAAAGTAAAAAATACATTACCGCACCTTGAAAGTTACTCTGCTGTTCAGGCTGGGCAACTGGAATGTGGTATTATAACATGTAAAAGGAACTTAATTAAATACTTCTGAAGAAATGAAAGATCTATCATTTCAGGAAGGAGAAGTGCCAAGTAAAACAGGATGTGAGACAATCCAAAGGACAATGTCCCTTTCTGAGAATAGCGTGACTGTAGCTTTCTGCGGGTTTTGTTCAATATGAATGTAATACACAAGTATGTGACAGTAATAGCAAGCCTTATAAAAAAGATGAAGAGTCACTTGAAAAACCTGCCTCTGAGAACAGGCATGTGAGAACTTTATTCTCATAATGATTTCATGTTGGCTGCTTGTCTACTCATTTTCAGATTACTTAGATCCCCTGCACCAGCCAAGCATCCCAATATTTGCTTACAAAAAAGGGGCCAAGCAAGAGCCATCAAATTTTGAGTAGCTTCTTCCTGATTTGTATAGAACATTGTTTACCTTCTTATGATCAAAGGTATAAGCTCTTGACTGGTGATGTCAGCATTAAACACTAATGCTAACCTAATTGATTCCTACTAACTCTTAAATTGGCAGATTACATTTAATTAAACAACATTAATTCTCATAATTCCTCACTAGAATTTCAGCGGAATATACTATTCTTTGACACTTTCTACTGGAGAACAGATGAATATTTGCATTTTTTCCGTACAGTTTAGTTTGAAAAACCTGAAAGTCAAGGAAAATAAAAAGTCAACTCACAGAAAAGCTCCTCAACAATCTCTGGAAGCCAAGGACACTATATGATGTTAGTGCCTGCCAACTCTCAGAAAGACAAATCTCACACACTTTAACATACTGCCAGAAATCTATCTTGGTCACTGGTTCAAGCTCAGCCAAGAAGGGGACTGACTGGAAGCAATTATTGTCTGATAGTGCCACATGCAAAAATGTTTTTTTTACAAATCTATCCTGACCTTTAGATTAGAAAACAAAGACACACTGCAGCACTCGTAAGATGACGAGTCCCCTGAAAAAATATCAGAATAATTTTTGTAAAAGCCCCCAATGTATTGAGGCTGCATCACATTGAAGCTACTATTTTCAAGAGTCTAGAGGGGCCAATTCATTGGAATTTAGGATACATTGTCTACATTCTGTTAATAATAATGATCAAAATACTTACTGGAATTCCATGCAATTGTGGCTTATCTATCAAACTGTGTAGCTCATTCTTTGAAGCTTCTACTTTTTCTAAGTCTGCTGCATCCACCATGTAACTGCAATAGGAATAAAATTATTTATGGTACTGTGCATTACTTGCAGAAAGTTGCATTAAAACATCTGAAATGTGACAATTGTTTTCACACTGAAAACAGCATTAGAAGTCCTGAGTTGTATAAGCCCTGCATTTACTAATATAGGAAGATACAGTATCAAATATGGGTCGTGGGGAAAATAAGGCGTGAAACATGCAATTACTTATATATATGGGTTGCTGGATGTGTAGAACACACTGCTTTTATTGCATTGGGTCTTCTTATGTGATGGTGAACAGGAAGAAAAGCCTATCTATATTAATTATATACTTTAAAACATATTTTCTGTGGGCATACATAAGAAAACTTACACAACTGCATTGACTCCTCTGCAATAACGCTCCCACATGCTTCGAAACCTTGGCTGCCCTCCAATGTCCCACACCTGGAAAAGGTAAGAACACCCCAACCCTAAAACATTTTTCAACTACACAGTACTGACAGAAGAACTCTTACCTGCAGCATGCAGGCTATATTGACAATACCTAGATGTAGGTAGTTTTTTAAGTGACCTTCCTCAAGAGACTGATCTTCTCAGCCCCTTCCAGTCACTGGACAGAGACAAGCACATCACATTCACAGAGCAAGTCAGTTCTGTGATCTTAGCAGCTCCAGAATTCCATTTGGAGAACTCTGCCCTTCCCCACTACTGCAAGTAGTTTTACTCAGATATCAAAGTGAATTAATCAAAGCAAATACACAGTCTAAAACCCAGAAAGAACAGCATCATTGTATGAAAACAGTTATGTAGTTGCATTTTTAGGAGGCTAGGGAGACATGAGTTAAGTATGCATCAGACCTTCATCAGGATAAAGACAGATATAAAAAAAAATAAGGGTTAGTCTGAGAGCAGATGGAGCACATGTAAAGGATCATACACTGTAGGGAGCTCCAATACCTCTACAACTCTCCCATTTGTTCATCAAATGTGCTTTAAAAGACACATGGATTAACTGATCAGAACCAGAAAGGAAACAGTAGTGTAGTGATTAATCTGTGAATCTTAAGGAAAGCTCAAATTCTGCTTGGGATTTTATAAATCTCCAATCCTGCAAGTACTTATGCATGCTATTAGTGTCCAACAATCCCACTGAATTCCTTACCATGAAAAGACTAACACATTATTGCTTTCTGTACAGGAGTTACATATTCTGCTTTGCTTGCAAAAATTCAGTATTTTTGGTGGATGACAATAATCTTGTTCCAAACCTGCTTCCAAAATACCAGAGAAAAGATCTAAATCATGTAGACAAGGGCTGCATGATGTAGCTGTTGCAACTACATCAAAAGACAGTTGTGTCACAAGAGACACACATATTAAAATAGTGATAAACACTGACAGATAGAAATAATGGACTTGTTCCTATGTCAAAGATCAAGTAATTATATCTTATTTTAATCAGATCTAGCTACCAAAATAATAGGTACTGTACACCAGACAGAGGAGGTATATCCATTACAGCACAAACTAAATCTGTAAGTAACAAACACAGAAGTAAATTTTTTTAAGAGTTGTTGCACATTTATACTTTATAAACCCAAATACATTAAATCTGCTGTGGCAACAAAGACTTGCACTAAGGAGCAACATTTAATACATAAGACCTTTTTCAACTCATATGGACTGTATTTTTAATTCCACAATCCGTAAGTCATATTTATGTATCAATTTCTCGACCATTTTCAACACCTTATGCTCATATATTAGAAATAAGTATTTCCCAATTCACCATTAAAAACACTCCCTGATTGATAATCTTACATACCTTCTGCCATAAAATTAGTATATCATGTGCATGTAGATTGCCTTTGATCCCCTTTATAATACGAAGAATTTTACACATCAGAGTTGAGTGAGCTTTGGAGCATGAACCAGTTATCAATTATTACATGCACTGACATTTGAAGTGAGGTTTCCAAAGTCTTAATTAAATAAACCTCTTATTTTGAAAGCTTGAAAGAGATAAGTACATAGTTCAGTATTACAGTTAGAACACAAACATCACACCAACACTAATTATTCCAATAACTCATAAGGACCTTGAAATTATCAGTAACCATCTGGTGCACATCTGTGTGTCTGGAAAAAGAAACTAAATTATTTTCTTGGTAGATCAGAGAAAAAGAAGAGGAAGGAGGACAAGGAAGGCTAGTAGTAAGATTAGATTTTTGGAGACTGACAGCAATTATTCCTGGTAGCCAGAAAAATCTACAAGGTTAGATAGCTTGGATTAAAAAATTAATACAAGGTAAAGAAATACTGGATATGTCCTCGCTTGATGATATACTGTATCTACATACTACACTAAATTGCACTGTAGAACAAGTATTATTCTAATCAGGAGAAAGAGTGACCTTGAAACAATGGAAAGATAAGTCATTTCCACTCAAGTTTCCCTAATAAGGGTTACAGGTATTCATTAAAGTACAACATGAAGGACAGAAAATAGACTAGATGTTTTTAATAGCGCATACGAACCCAGTTTACATAAATATATAAAAGTTGTAATTATCTGAAAAAGGGCAAGAAAATAAATGCATGAAATAAATTTTTAAAATCCTTACATCTTTGCCTATAAAACTAACATGGTGCCAATAGTAACTTTCTAATACTCTATTTTTATATTGAATAGCATTAACTACTTTATTCAAAACAGAAATAATTTTCATTGCACATGACTGGACAGAACTGTGAGAACACAAGAGGCACCCAGGAAGGAAAGGGGAGAGGTCCTAAAGTTTTCTTGCATAAGCCTTGCATGTTTTGTACATCACCTATTATTGTATCCCAATATTTAATACATAGGTAAAAGGTATACTCTGGGTGTGAATTGGGAGAGGCAGGAGACTACACCTTAATAGCAGAATATACACCTATCTATAAAAAGAAGTTAATTTTGTCTGGGTACTTTTAAAAAGAGACTGGACATCAAATTGCTCTCATAGCTTTTTGCTGGTCACTCAGGAATAAAATTTTCATAATATTTAAGGGGCAATTTTATCCCAAGATGACCAGTTGATTTTATGAATCACAATATGCCGACAGAATTGCCAAACCAAACAGGGAAAAAGCTTGATACCCAACACCATTGCCTCACAGGAAATTAAAATCTCAAGGAGTCGCTTAGGCTCAAACTCAAAGGCATACACCTTATTTCTACTGCATTTCATAAATTACTATTTTATTTGTTCCTGTCAGCTCCTATAGAGTAGCAATTCTTATTGTGCTTGCAAGTCTGCACTCTCATAAAATAATGCAATGTTTTAATTAGTAAACTAGACTAAGCATCATATTTTGGAATAATCATTTACGATTGTGTTTATATTTACTTATTAAATCAAATTCTTCTAAAACAGGAATCTCTCTGGATATGACTTGTTCAATTTCTTCATGTGAATCTAAGGCTCCTCCTCAACACTGCAGCTACCAGCTATGTTTAATGAGCAAATCCTTTTCTTTTGCACAGAGGTATATCATGACAACTGAGCAAAAAAACAGCTGAGGAATAGGTTAAAAAAGTTTTGAAAGCTTTCAGTTACAACAAGGTTCTTTAACACTCTAGTTGTGTTTCTTTTCACTAGCTTATATTGTGGAAAGGCTTGATGGTATTTTCTAGATGTCAGTTTTAGATGAGGTTTTTCCAGACATCCTGAGTAGGGTATTTCTTGTGGACAAAAATGTGTAAAATGACACATTTGTATGTCAATGTCAATGCATGGGTTCAGTACCTACAGCCTCAAAGCAGTCACTGAAGCCTAGACAGCTATTGAGATAACCAGACAGAGTATCTTCTTTGGGATGTCAGAATTACAGTCTAGGCTTCACCGTACTGACTAGAGCTCCTCTGACTATTAATAAAGCAGCTTAACCCTCATTGCAGACATACAGCTGCTTATATTCAGGCATCTTCATTTGCAAGCTGAACACACATGACAAATACTTGAACTCAGAAATAAATCTTTCTCCATGCAAGTACTCAGGAAACATCAGCCCTAAAATCTACGCTGAACAAACAGGCGAGGAAATTCTAAACACAGAGGAGCATGTGGTCAGAACAAACTAGCACCAGCAACATCCAACACCGCGTTGCACACAGACAAGCCCATATATACTGAATGTGACTAATGAGCTCACGCATACACATCAAGCAGTCATACAATTCATAGTCAACTCAATGTGTAATGACAGGGAGTAACTGGAAAGCATGGGATTCATTTCCCTTGACTTCAGTCACCTAAAATGTAGGCATATAATCCAAGTGACTAAAATCTCTCTGTGGCTACTAAAGAGCTCAGAGGGCACTCACAGCAGAAAACAATTCAGCCTGTCTCACCTACCTTGCCTACCAGACTAACCATTCTTGCAAAGCACTCACTGCCCCCCACCGAGTTCAGACAACTGGCTCAGGCTGGCTTCTTCCTTTTCACCTGGCTAAACTCACGGGAGACAAATCCTAAATAATCATCTGTTCTAGACTGGAATTTTCAACCAGTAATGTTCAGCTTCCCTGCTGAATAAACAAGAAGAATAAAAAGAGCTAAATCATTTAACTACAAAAAGTTTAAGAAATTGCCAAGTGGATACAAAAGTATAGAGCCTTACTTGCAGGACCAGCCATGCGACCTACTATGGAAGGTAGAATACCTTACTTACTGCCTTAGAATACTTACTACTCAGCTATTATGCTATATTTTTGAAATGCCTTTACACTTGTTCTTAAGGCTGAAAAAAAAATAAGCCACATGGCTACATTTCTGCAGGCAATATTCCCAGAACACTGTGTTCTTTGAAATCTGTCTTGGTCCATTAAAGAACCCTATTGTCACTCCTCACTAGCAATGAAGGCCAACTTTTAAACATTTTTTGCAACTAGGTATTTTATTTTTGTCACATCATACAGAAAAAAATGCTATACTCACTCTTCACAGTTTATAATTATTTAATTTAATCAATAGCACTTTCACTGAAGAACAGGACTTGGATTTGCAACACAAACTGGCTGAGTATCTTCAACTCCTGAAAACAGACACAGAGGCGTTTTAATGGGAGGAGTTATTTCTCAATGACCAGGGTGTGCTTGCCAAATTTTATCAGACACAAGATACAATGATGGAAGGACCAACAGGTAGATTTTAAACAAGACACAAAAGCAAAGTCTCTTCCCTGAAAACCGTTTTCTGCACCTCATGCTGCCTACCTCCATGTTGTGTTCTAAGACAAGAGAGCACTAGGGAATGCAGGTAAAATGAGGTGAGACTGCAATCCTCTCAGTTAAGATGTAATACACCTCCAAACCGAAGGAAACAATCTATACTAGTCTCAATATTGTGTCCTCCCTGAAGCAGAAAGCTCCAATGCTGAGTAAGCAAATGCAATCATTTTTACCCTCTTTTCACATGACCATGAATCAGTCTCGACTGAGAGACTCTGAGAGAGGCTCTTGTGAAAATCCGCATATAGAACCTATATATGTAGACAGGACTCAGAGCAAGGAGACCAGAGGCAAGGACATCGATAGCTCAAAACAGCTAATCAATATCTAGTGTAGTGATTATTAATTTTGCCTGTCCTTGAAGAACATATAACCATGAAAGCAAAAAAATGAGTATTTGCTCCACAGTAGAGAAAAGCCAGAAGCATGTGCAAGAGTGTGTGCGCTGGGGAAAGGTTAATCTAATACTGGTAGATTAGACAAGGAAAGAACATTCTCCCGTGACAGATTTAACCCCACAGTGGCTCCCTGGCCACTCTCCTTCTATGGCCCCCTTGCCCTCTATCTCTCAAGCCTGAGCAATCCTAACAGATTCCCAGCATTTCTCAATGAGGCCAAGCTGCTAAGGACAGACCTAACCAGGGGCAGCACTTATGGTTCCCAGGTGTCTCAACAGGATGTTGGAATAGAACATGCTTAAATAAGCTGCAGATAACTTCCAAGCTGAGAGTTGACAAAAAGAAAATACCAAAATCCTGAAGTATCCAGACCAATGAGACATATGAACTGAAATAGCAGCTGAAATTTAATACACACAAATTAAAAATGCTCCATTTGTTACAGTCATAGTCACAGAGTCGTCAGGGTTGGAAGGGACTTCTGGAGACAATCCAGTCCAACCCCCTGTCAGAGCAGGGTCACCTACAGTAGATCCCTTAAGAATACATTCAGATGGGTTTGGATGTCTGCAGAGAAGAACACTCCACAACCTCTCTGGGCAGCCTGTCCCAGGACTCTGCCATCCTCACAGTAAAGAAGTTTTCCCTTGGTTGACCCTCCTGTGCTCCAGTTTGTGTCCATTGCTCCTTGTCCTGTCACTGCACACCACTGAGAAGAATCTGGCCCCATCCTCCTGACACCCTCTGTAGATATTTATAAGCACTAGTACTCAAGGAACCAAATGCACTAGTACAAAATGGATAATCAGGCGGAAATGCAGGACAAAAAGCTTGAACACTTCAAAAACTAAATGTTTCAGCAGTGTTGCAGATCATAAATCAGCATGTAGTAGCACAAGCAGCTCTTGTACCATTTTGGAAGTATTCTCACTGTCAGGGAGGTTCCTATGCTGGTTTTAAGCATCAGCCTACAGAAGAGGCACAGACAAACTTGAAGAAGTCCACATGAGAAGAAAAAAAGGGTGAGATTTTGAAAATATTACTATAAAGAAGAAAGGAGAGAACAAAATCATAATGTTCCTCAGGAAATGGCTGCAATGTAGAAAAGAAAAAAGGTCAATTTGGGAGAACAACAACTCATGTCAGATATCAGGAAGAAAGCTTTCTAAGACTTGCAAGTGAAAGAACATTGTACAAAAAAAAGGGATATCACAGAAGTTTCTTCATAGAAGAAAACATTTTAACAATTACCTAAGCTACTTGGATAAATATCTGATTGATCTCAGGGCACATGTTTGGTTTTGATGATTCCTTGAGATCAACTTTTGGTCCTTATTTTTAGGAGTCCTCCTAACAGTTACTCTGAATGACTAGTGAGACACTCAGCATTGCCTTTTCTGGCTCAGGACAGTCTCTTCTTGTTCCACATGTTTGTCCTTATCCCTGTAGAAGCTCTTATCTAATGCATGATGCTCTTTCACACTCTGCAGCACACACTTCCCAGCATAGATACAGTGTCCAAGGCTTCTCCCAAATTATTAGATGGTAGAGAGCTTTCATACTCTTTCTTTTTACTTGGTGGAGTAATTCCGAGTATGCTCCACACTTACTCTCTGAGTCTCTCTCTAACCCTGAATTAACTTCTTCTAACAGAATCATAGAATCATTGAAGCTAGTGAGGGCCTTTGGAGATTATATAGTTCAGCTCACCCTGGTCAAAGCAGGGTCAGCTGGAGGACTGTTTCAATGACAAGAGACTCCAGAATCTGCCTGGTGAATCTATGTCATGCTTTAGGTCAATCTATTTGATGTTTTAATGCTTAAACACCCTCACAGTAAAAATGCTTTTTCTTATGGTTTAAATGAAATTTCTCATATTTCCGTTTGTGCCCATTGCCTCTTGTTTGGCTACATCTTCTGGCTACATCAATGAGATCTCCCTGAGCCTCCTCTTCACTAGGCTAAACAATCTCATGTATCTCAGCATCTCTTGCTAAGGGAGATACATGACACATGAGATAGTAACATGACAGGTTAGATGTTTTTTAATTGCTGCTGAATAGCAGGACCAAGCACTACAAAGCAGGAGGATTCTGTGAGGATATTTGGAGACTTGGAAACTACTATCCATAGGAGGGAGGAGTGCAGCGACGAAGGAAGCCGGAAGAGGAACACACAGAGCCAGGATACTCCTCCTCCACCTCCCTCTCTACCACTCAGAGCAAGGAGCAAGAAGCTTGGCTTGGCCCTGCAGCAGCCCGGCCTGCACCGGGCAGTGCAGCAGCTCCCGTGGAAGGACGCTGGCCTCTAGTGGTGGCAGCTGGGGTGGCCGCAGAGCAATTTCAGCAGCTCCAGTCCCTGAGCAGCTGCTCACTGCTCCCTCCGGACTGCAAAACCTGGGGGGGTGCAGAAACTGGCTGGCAGTGCTATTTTAAGAGTGAGCTTAAACGAAGTGCAAGATCAAGGAAAATGAAGCTGATGCATCGTCTGTGCGTATGCACGTCTTGTGTTGCTCTGTTTCTTGTTTATATCTGAGACCATTCTAAGACTATCACTGCAAGAACCAAAGGTTGATGAGCTTCACAATCATTTAAACAAGTTTCCAATGCATGTCTTCTAATGCTCTAGAAATGTGGTTTGTTAAAACAAATTTTTAGCAACTATCTAGTCTATTGAACAGTAAATCTCACCAAACCAAAAGATTCCTAATATTGAACTAATCCAAAAATAGACATTCTATCAAATCCAAATCACTCAGCAAACAACAAAACTTGCATGGAATTAAACTCCCAAATTAATGTATAGATTTTTTTTTTGTCAGAAAAAGAAGCCATGGCCATCAGTTTTGTTATGATTTTCATAAAAAAAAGCTTTGATATATCCCTAAATTGTATTACATTAGGAATTTTGATGCTGGAAATCATCCTGCAAATTAATACTTCAACTGCAACCTCAATATCCATAAAGCTTCCTGCCTAGATTTCAAATCCTGCCTGGTAGTATCTTTCCTCTTTGACTCCTTTTTTGGAAATAATAGGTGGCAATTTTTATGAAATACAGTAACAAACCAAAATTTGACAATTCATGGTTAAAGCTGACTTCTGATCACTCTCAACTTCAATTAAAGAGCACATGAAATTGGCATCTCCCTACAAAATATCAGCTTGCATAAATCAGTGCTTTTCTTTCAGTACAGTACAGATATTCATCAAGAGGGGCATGTCAGTGACCACACTTTCATACTCTAGGATTAGGGACTAAATACAAGCATAAATCTGCTGGCCTCTAGAACTGACTGCCAAAACCAGAAGAAAGCAAAGCAGACTGTGGGATCCTTAGTTCTTGCTGCCTTCTGGAACTGTATGGAATTTAGAGATAGAACTATAGTCAAGAAAACTGGTGGTGATGCTGCACAAGCATCCTTCTTAGTGGCTTACCCCAACAGACTGCAAAAACCACACAAGGGATTAGCATCACCTACTAATTGGTGTTGCAAATTTCTCTGCCTATCATGATTAATTTTAGTCTTCTGGAATGCCATTTTTCACTTGATGACTTTTTTACCCAGATGGTTTCTCAGCCTTACTCTTACAGTAAAGTTAATGATTCTGCTTTGCAGTGTCCCCTGAGACCATTGAAAAAGTTCAGCTTTAACATCTCCCAGTCAACAGAAGTCAACCATGCCTTTTACCACCCTTTAACTGCTCATACTTTAGAGCAAGTGGGTAGATAGCGAACAACTGCTTATATCCACATTACAAGCCATTTCAGAAAATCCTTCCTAGGTTAGGAGTCACACCAAACCAGAGGAAAAAATTCTATCTTTGGAACTGAGGAAGTAAGGAAAGGAAATGAAGGAGGAGGGAAAAGCAAAGGTAAAGGCAAAACCCCTATATTCCCCTCACCTAAATTTAGATGAAAATTATTAATTTGATCTAGACTAATCAACCAGTCTCCCTCCACAATCAAACCATGGAGTGTGCCTAAATTATACTGGAGTGATTTATTTCCGTTTTGAAACCTATGGTGTGAGTCACAACAAAACTAGCATCATCTGTATTTCTCTATAGGCCTACAAGTGATGGCTCCCTGACAACTCACTTACACTACATGTCCTGTTCCCATAGAGCTCAATATTATATGAGCTAAACTACACTCTGCTGAGATATATAAGTTGGGAATTAAGGTGCTTCTGATTTCACTTTATTGTGAGAGGGAGAGAGAGAAAGAGAGGCATCTCAAGGAGTCAACCCTTACTATCTCAGAATTTTATTACCTTTCTAACTCAAAAGAATGTAACAAAGCTTCTGCCTATCATGGATATAATGAAATCAAACATTAATTCAACAGACAAATACGTAACTATATGCTTTTAAAAAGTTATTTTTGAACTAGAAAAATAGCTGAATGATTCCATCATCTTAAAAGAAATTTCCTGAGGTTTGATATTCCAAGTTTAAATCAGTTTTTCTATTACTTATTCACTCTGTAGCAATTCAAACATGCACACCTACCTTTATGGTAACATTTCCTTTTGTTATTTTCCTCATATTGAAGCCTACTGTAGGAATCATATCTTCTGTGAACTGCCCTGACTAGAATACAAACACACACAAAAATACATTTATTATTAACACATTGATACACAGCAGATTACTTTCCCATTTTTAATCTACAGTTTTTATTTTAAAACACTAAAAGTATCACATTAGTTTTCTACAAGAGCCCTGGCCAGCACTTGAATTAATGCATTGTCATGCCAAGGAAGACTGTTCATTTCACTCCCTTTAAACGATCTTCTATTCTCCTCAGTGACAAAGACTTGCCCAGAAACCATGAGACTTCCAATAATACTTCATCTGACCCCTAAGCAAAACAGAAAGCAGCACCATTAAAATATATAATCACAGAATTGCAGAATGGTTTGGATTGGAAGGGACCTTTAAAGGTCACCTTGTCCAACCCCCAATACAATAAATTATGATAAAACCATCTACACCAGGATTTTCCCCTGTAGTTTCTCACTACTGTTATAAATGGTGTAACTCCAAATGTAATACATGGTGAAGTATTCCTCGTGGAGAGAATACTATGTGCAGACTCCTTCAGAGTAGGTGACAGCACAGGAGCACTGCTTTGGAAGCCAAGAGAACACCATTACGACAGAAAAATACAAGGTACTAACTCAGCACACCATAAAACCAAACCATATAAACCCAAGTGCTGCCTGTTTCCCCAGTTCAAAGAAATATTTTTACAAAATAGAAGCTTGTCATCATACCAACAGGAACCTGCCCCACACCTACCCACTAAAGAAGACAGCTTTTAAGGAAAAAGGTGAAACTCAGATCTAAGTAGGTAACTCAGTATTCATTTTCCCTTTTCAAAAGATACCATTAACATGGTATTGTGTTTCCTAGGAATGGTGCATTATATAGGCAAATGGTTAATTAAAAGTTATGTCTACACAGAGAGCCAGGTCCTCTCTTTAATACGCACAGTAGTCCTGGTTTTCCAGTCACCCAGAAAGGAGAACCAGACCTTCTGGACTTGCCATTGCCTCTCCATATCTATCTGCCCATATTCCATTCATCCATCTCATAATCCTAAGTGCCCTGGGTTGTTTTTTATTAAGAAAATACAGATCTGTAGACAAGGACAGAAATAGGCATACTCCAACAGGTACCTCCCATCTGAGAAGTGGATGCTCAGAGCTTCAGGTTACACCAAAGCAGCTCCATGCCTCACAGTGCACACACTGCCACCAGCTACCCCTAATGCCACTGCTGGTCTCTGCATGCTTTCTGCAACTCTTCTCTTTGCTGCTTATGGCAGCATAGGAATACACCATGCCACCAGTTTGTGTTCACAAACTGTAATTAATTATTTTTAATCTAGGACTTTAAAAGCTGTATAACCTTTGGCAGTTACTTGATCCTCATGAGATTTTGGCATTTGGATTTAGATCCTTCAGGCAAGAAACAACTTCCATCAACTTGTTCAACCTTACTTATGGAAACCTTCTTGCTAAATCCCAAACTATACATCTTGCCCATCTTTTGCTCCTGGAAGTTTCTTTTTTATCTCTTCTTTCCTCGCTTCAATGACTTGTCAAAGAGCAGTAGGGGAAAAAAAAAGTGAAGACAAATGCACCTGCAGTTTCATAGAGATATATGTACCCAGCAGTGACAGAAGTTTTTAATTGGATGGAATAAGACAAAGTCAATTAGTAACCATCTCCTGAAGCAGGTACTGGCCTAATTTGTTAAAATATATAGTACATTTATTTGTGGAGGACATATACACATAAACCCCTGAGAATGTAGCATCATTACTCAAGAAAAAAACATCATCACTCCTCTCGTACTGAGGATGGGAATGCAAAGAATTAGTGTCCCCATTATTGGTCTTCAGTCTTTTCCTCTAACAATATTCCATTCTGGTTTAAGGGAACTCACTACAATGAAACTATTATGGTTACAGTTCTTTATTTTCCCAAACAATGAAGAAAAGAAAGTAATACGTTGAATCTTTTGCCAACATTAGTAAAAAAATTCTGATTACTGTGTTGCTTCAAGTGCTGTAAGCACCATGCAGTAAAAAATCTGTTCTGTTTGCTAAGGAAGTTTTACATGGCAAATTACCTATTTTTGGGAATATTCAAGATATGCAAACAAGTTTATTCTTGTTCCTCAGTAAAAAAAAGATTACACCCTGACATAAACGAAAACAACTGGCGCTAAGAAATTTTTAATGTCCTCTTTAAATGTTGCTGAATATTGAACTGGTAGCGAACACAGGCATAAACGCTTACCATAGTGACCATGGGCCACATTCTACTCCACTGCATCAATGCACATCCATTGTAAAGTTATCCAAGCTTCCCACTGGTAACAGAAGACTAAGCACGGCTCAAGGTCTACAGGGAGGAGACTGTCTCAAAGGACTCTTATTCAGTGGTAGCACAATAGGATCTGAATACTACTGCAAAGTGAAAAAAATAGTAATTTCCTTCCATTTGTTTTTATGATGCTCCGCAGTTTGCATTTTAAGTAGCTTCTGCTTTGTCATGACTACTTTAATCTTGTCACACTCTAGCCACATACATACCAATGCACACAGATACCCAAAATACCTGATCTATTTGCCATCCCCATTTAAACTGTATTCAAGAGTAAACTATTTTTCATTGTTTTACTCTGAAATTATTTGGGCACCCTTCTTCAGTGATCATCATGGTATGTCATCTCCTGACTGAAAGATCCAAAAGCGACAAAACTCGCAATCTGTGATACACCCCAAGCCAGAACATATGGATGTCTTGTACAATATTCTTAAGCAATACGTTTGCTGGCAAAATCAGACCTGCAGGAACAGCAGTGCTCTGGTATTCAAGACATTAGCACAAGAGAGGCAAAAACATGCCATGCCATTCCACAGGTGGTGTGGTATGATGATTGGAAAAACATCCACGCAAATCCTGATACCACACACACCTGTTAGAGGTCTCTGAACTGCTGTGTTCCTCTTCACTCTGCTTATTAAATCAATCCAAGGGATATAGTCTGTCATGCCTTTTCCCCCCTTCCTCAGCAAAGCCCACCCTTGGGAGATGAACTCTTCCAATGGGCATGAAGAGTGTTGAGGCCCATGTTACCATGACAGTGTCTAACATAAACTAACTAAAATACCAGTACCAGGTATTTTATGGTTTTGACTGCTTTTGGCTGCAATTGCTTATTGATTGCTGATGTCCCCCAACACACACTTTTCATTGCATTCTGTATTTTCTTACCTTGTTCCTTTTTTCTTCTCTCTCTTCATTTTTTCACTCAAACTAATTTCCCGTTTTTCCCTTAATCCATAACCATATACGAAATAAAATAAATGCCATAAACTCATGTTCATAATTTTCTAAATCTCTCTGACTTTAGGCCATACAACCCCTAGTCTGGTTTTGATTCTTGATCCAGTAACTTTTCAGATTAAGGACTGAAGAACATCTGGAAGCCTCTATCTCAGCAGACGTAGCTGCAATACATCTCAGAGCAGTGCTCACCTCACAGAAGTGTATGGACTGCAAAGTTTCATTAGTACCAATCACATTTAACAAGTATTTGTTTCCATCTTACAATGGAAAGTAAACCTTCGGGATGGACCCAAATGCAGAAGGGCACAGGGCACAGCAAAGATGAGGAACACATTTCAGCACAGCAACAGAATGGACAATGTCACGGTAGGTGTCTGTGCTCGAGTGGAACAAGGCTGCAAGGCCACTGTCACAGTGAGCAGGGAATGCCAAAATCAGGCATGAATGCTGGGAAAAAGCTATCAAGGAATTATGGGAGGCATTAATATTGATGCAACTAATGGGATGGGAAAATTCAGTGACAGAGCTGTGGCCTTGGAGCGTGTGTAACACACTGTCAGTCACTGTGAGACACACTGAAAACCCAACTCTGAATCGCAGGCAAGCGCCCATGCCCAGGCACCTGCTTTAAGATGGGCGTGCTTTGCACTCGGACACCGGAGACATTTTCCTTCTCCATCTTAAAACAGTGTCACACCCACCTGAGCCTGCTGTAAAATTCCCGAGGTTGCGGAGGACGCCGGAGCAGCCTCA